GGTAACTACTATGAAATCTAATACTTCCCCATGCTACCATCTGCAGCCCCAACAAGGGCCCCACCAAACACCAAAGAACCTAGAATCCTGGGCCCTGGAAAGCAAACTTTAAGCATCCAGACTCACGGGGGGAAAAGGTGCACTCCCTTAACCATGTGGGCTTTGTGTATGCTCTCCCTCTGCCCCAACGTTCCTTGCTGCTGGTTCCGGCGATGTCTTCAGGCTTCAGGTCCTAGTTCAGATGTCTCCTCTGCCAGGAACCCCATGCCAGGTCAGGCAGGTGCCCAGTAGACTCCACCATCTCAGCTCTGCCCACTGATGGGGAATAGATCCATCCCCACTGGACTAGGAATTCCTTGAGGACACAGATTGGTGCTGGCTGGGTCCCTGCTGTTTTGCCAGCACAAGTCCTGGCACAGGGCATAATCTCACAAAATACTAGCTAAAGGAAATAATGAATGGATGGAGAGATGAATGTTGTATAACCACTCAAGGAGTTCATTCACCTTGCCCACTGCCTAGACAGAGCCGATTCATCAAGACAAGAGAACTGAAAGAGAAAGAGCAATTCACGCACAGCTGGCCGTGCAGGAGGCAGGAATTTTGTTTCTTTTTAATTAATTAATCTTTTTTGAGACGGAGTATCGCTCTTATTGCCCAGGCTGAAGTGCAATCGCGCCATCTTGGCTTGCTGCAACCTCCGCCTCCCAGGTTCAGGCAATTCTCCTGCCTAAGCCTCCAGAGTAGCTGGGATTACAGGCACGCACCACCACGCCCAGCTAATTTTTGTATTTTTAGTAGAGACAGCGTTTCACCCTGTTGACCAGGATGGTCTTGATCTCTTGACCTCATGATCCACCCACCTTGGCACCCAAAGTGCTGGGATTACAGGCGTGAGCCACCACGCCCTGCCAGTTTTATTATTACTCAAATCAGTCTCTCTGAGCATTCCGGGAGCAGTATTTTTTTTTTTTTGAGACTAGTTTCACTCTTTTGCCCAGGCTGGAGTGAAGTGGTGTGATAATAGGCAGCTCAACGCAACCTTCGTCCCATGGGTTGAAGCGATTCTCATGCTTCAGCCTCCCAACTAACTGGGATTATAGGTGGCCGCCACCATGCCTGGCCAACTTTCTATTTTTTTAGTAGAGATGGGGTTTCACTATGTTGGCCAGGCTGGTCTCAAACTCCTGACCTCAGGTGATTCGTACCCCTCAGGGGCCTCCGAAAGTGCTGGGATTACAGGCATCAGCAATGGGCCTAGCTGGAGCAGAGTTTTGTTGTTGTTTTTATTATTATACTTTAAGTTCTGGGGTACATGTGCAGAGTGTGCAGGTTACAGTTATACATGTGCCATGGTGGGTTGCTGCATCCATCACCCCATCATCTACATCAGGCATTTTTCCTAATGCTATTTCTCCCCCAGCCCCCTACCCCTTGACAGGCCCTGGTGTGTACTGTTCCCCTCCCTATGTCCATGTGTCCTCACTGTTCAACTCCCACTTATGAGTGAGAACATGCGGTGTTTGGTTTTTGGTTGTTGTGTTAGTTTGCTGAGAATGACAGTTTCCAGCTTCATTCATGTCCCTGCAAAGGAAATGAACTCATCTTTTTTTATGGCTGCATAGTATCCCATGGTATATAATTGCCACATTTTCTTTATGCAGTCTATCATTGATGGGAATTTGGGTTGGTTCTAAGTCTTTTTTTTTTTTTTTTGAGACGGAGTTTCACTCTTGTTACCCAGGCTGGAGTGCAATGGTGCGATCTCCACTCACTGCAACCTCCATCTCCTGGGTTCAGGCAATTCTCCTGCCTCAGCCTCCTAAGTAGCTGGGATTACAGGCACAGCTGATTTTTTGTATTTTTAGTAGAGATGGGGTTTCATCATGTTGACCAGGATGGTCTCGATCTCTTGACCTCGTGATCCACCCGCCTCGGCCTCCCAAAGTGCTGGGATTACAGATGTGAGCCACCGCACCTGGCCTAGTTCTAAGTCTTTAATATTGTGAACAGTGCCAAAATCGCCATGTTGTCTTCCACAAATTACACTCCTACCAACTGTGTAAAAGCATTCCTATTTCTCCACATCCTCTCCAGCATTTGTTGTCTCCTGATTTTTTAATGATCGCCATTCTAACTGGCATGAGATGGTATCTCATTGTGGTTTTGATTTGCATTTCTCTTTTTTTTTTTTTTTTTTTTGAGACGGAGTTTCGCTCTTGTTACCCAGGCTGGAGTGTAATGGCGTGATCTCAGCTCACCGCAACCTCCGCCTCCCAAAGTGCTGGGATTACAGGCGTGAGCCACCACGCCCGGCTTGATTTGCATTTCTCTAATGACCAGTGATGATGAACTTTTTTTCATGTTTTCATATGTTTGTTGGCTGCATAAATGTCTCCTTTGGGAGACGTGTCTGTTCATATCCTTTGCCCACTTTTTGATGGGGTTGTTTTTTTCTTGTAAATTTGCTGAAGTTCTTTTTTGATTCTGGATATTAGCCCTTTGTCAGATGGACAGATTGCAAAAATTTTCTCCCATTTTGTACGTTGTCTGTTCACTCTAATGTTAGTTTCTTTTGGTGTGCAGAAGCTCTTTAGTTTAATTAGATTCCATTTGTCTATTATGGCTTTTGTTGCCATTGGAGCAGAGTTTTTTTTTTTGTTTTGTTTTGTTTTTTTTTGAGACGGAGTTTTGCTCTTGTTATTCAGGCTGGAGTGCAATGGCGCGAACTCGGCTCACCGCAACCTCCGCCTCCTGGGTTCAGGCAATTCTCCTGCCTCAGCCTTCTGAGTAGCTGGGATTACAGGCACGCACCACCATGTCCAGCTAATTTTTTGTATTTTTTTTTTTTTTTTTTTTTGAGACGGAGTTTCGCTCTTGTTACCCAGGCTGGAGTGCAATGGCGCGATCTCGGCTCACCGCAACCTCCGCCTCCTGGGTTCAGGCAATTCTCCTGCCTCAGCCTCCTGAGTAGCTGGGATTACAGGCACGTGCCACCGTGCCCAGCTAATTTTTTGTATTTTTAGTAGAGACGGGGTTTCACCATGTTGACCAGGATGGTCTCGATCTCTCGACCTCGTGATCCACCCGCCTCGGCCTCCCAAAGTGCTGGGATTACAGGCTTGAGCCACCGCGCCCGGCCTAATTTTTTGTATTTTTAGTAGAGACGGGGTTTCACCATGATAACCAGGTTGGTCTCGATCTCTTGACTTCGTGATCCGCCTGCCTCGGCCTCCCAAAGTGCTGGGATTACAGGCTTGAGCCACCGCGCCCGGCATTGGAGCAGAGTTTTTAAGGATAACTTGGTGGGGTAGGGGTGGGAGCCAGTGAGCTAGGGGTGCTGATTGGTCAGAGATGAGATCACAGGGAGTCGGAGCTATCTTCTTGTGCTCAGTCAGTTCCTGGGTTGTGGGGGGCTACAAGATCAGATGAGCCAGTTTATTGATCTGGGAGGGGCCAGCTGATCCATCAAGTGCAGGCTCTCCAAAATATCTCAAGCACTGATCTCAGGTGCATCTAGGGAGGGCCAGAATCTTGTAGCCTCCAGCTGCATGATTCCTAAATCATAATTTCTAATCTTGTAGCTACTGTTAGTCCCCAGAAAAGAAGGAGGTCTGCTTTGGGAAACAGCTGTTACTATGTTTGTTTAAACTATATAAACTAAGTTTCTCCCAAAGTTAGCTCAGCCTTCGCCCAGAACGAACAAGGACAGCTTGGAGTCAGTTAAGTTAGATCTCTTCCATTGTCTCAGTCCTAATTTTGCAAAGGTGGTTTCAGTAGTTCCCTGATCCAGCCAATTACGCTAAATTCTCTTATTTTATGTTCCCACATATCACACAGATCACCTTTCTAAAATAGTTTATATTTTGGGTGTTTACTTGCCCTTTATTTCTATTGGTTGACTGATTGAGAACAGTCTCAGTCACCTAGGCCGGAGCGCAGTCGCACAATCTAGGCTCACCGCAGCCTCCACCTCCCGGGTTCAAGCGATTTTCCTGTTTCAACCTCACAAGTAGCTAGGATTATAGGCGAGAGCCACCAATTTTTGTATTTTTGTATCTTTAGTAGAGACAGGGTTTCACCAAGTTGGCCGGGCTGGTCTTGAATTCCTGGCCTCATGTGATCCACCCAACTCGGCCTCCAAAACTGCTGGCATTACAGGCGTGAGCCACTGCGCCGGACCTTACTATGCCCTTTAGATCTCAGCTCGGGCGGCCCTTTCCAGGCAGCCCTGCTGGCCTCATGTCCCCGGGTCAGCCAGCTCCTCTGAGCTCCGGGGCTCGCAATTTCCCGACCACTCCGGGTTGATTAGGAGTGTATTTCCCAGTGCTGAGCAAAAAGCCCGCACAGTCTGTCTACCGAAAGAAAGGACGGCGTATGAGCGCATTAACGAGTACACAGCCGAATGTCCGCTCTGGGTCAAAGTCCTCTTCCAGATTCCCAGGCCGTGCCCCCAGAACCCAGACTTCACTCCTGAACCATGCCCCTAACCCAGACTTATCGCCTAAAGTAAAACTGAGGCACGCCGATGTCCTCAACGGATAATATACAAGCACCTGCCACCTCCCAGGTCAGTGGAGAAACTGAGGCAGCGGGTGCAGCTTTGGAAATCAAGTCGCCCAAGGATGGCCGGGCAAAAGACCCCGTCTGGTTTCTCCTCAGCCCCTCCCCTAGCTCCTCTGTCCCGGAAAGCGCCGTCCAAATTTCTCCCATCCCTCACACTATTGGTTTAACAGGGCGTCCGTTTCCAAGCACTCTCTTCCCCTATTGGCTGGTATTTCCAAATTACGCGCTGGCGCCTTGGCCTGCCCCTTACGCCACGCCACGCCCTCACTATTGGGCTATCCGCACGCCCCTCGATCAGGAGCCCTCCCTATTGGCCACTGGACTTGGCCGGTTCGGGCTGTGACTGGTCGTGGACAGAAGTCCATCCCCTGGGCAACCACCTGAGAGGGGTTGGAAAAAGGAGAAAGGTTGGAGGGAGTTGGGGTCAGACTCACGTTGAGCGGGCGGGAGGCAGATATAGGTCTTGAAAAACTCGCTTCGGCGGGCGGCCTCTTTAATGCGGTTGGCAAGCGGTTTGCTGACCTGGCGGATGCCCAAGTATAGCAGCTTCGCCATAGGGAACGCGCCCACCACCATCTTGGCGGTCTCACAGGGGCACGCGCAACCTTGCTGACTGGGCGGGGCGCCTCAGCCTCTCTACTCCTCCCCCGCCCGCTCGGGGCCATGCGTGCGTCAGTACGCAAGTACGTACGCTCGGCGGAGGGAACTGCAGAGGCGCACCCTGACGTCACCGCGTCGAAGCTGACGTACTGGCGTCAGTTCGCTGAATATGCAAATATACACGGAAGTGAGGCGGTTCAGGGGGCGGCGCCGTTAAACGGATACTGGAAGGCGCGTGGATTCCCACGCCCGCCTTAGCCGACGTCACTGTGCTCCTTCGTGACGTCACGTACTGAGTCCGCGTTCCACCCAATGGAGGCTCTTAATTAGTCCTAATTAGTCCTATGAGTCTCAAATACACCTTCCTTTGTAAGCTACGGCTCTCACTGGGATTGAGAGGAAGCCACGTTCCGCCGTTTCCTCGTTGTGTGATATTAGATGAGTGACATAACCCCTCTGGACTTCAGTATTACCGTCTACAAAATGCGAATCCTAATAGCACTTGCCTTTTTGGGTTGTTGTGAGTCTTCTATGCGGATCTTGAGTGTAAAACAATGAATGGGCCGGGCGCGGTGGCTCAAACCTGTAATCCCAGCACTTTGGGAGGCCGAGGCGGGTGGATCACGAGGTCGAGAGATCGAGACCAACCTGGTCAACATGGTGAAACCCCGTCTCTACTAAAAATACAAAAAATTAGCTGGGCATGGTGGTGCGTGCCTATAATCCCAGCTACTCAGGAGGCTGAGGCAGGAGAATTGCCTGAACCCAGGAGGCGGAGGTTGCGGTGAGCCGAGATCGCGCCATTGCACTCCAGACTGGGTAACAAGAGCGAAACTCCGTCTCAAAAAAAAAAAAAAAAAAAAAAAAAAAACAATGAATGGACCATGGGAAGTGCTTAGAATGGTGCCAGTTACATAGTTAAGCATTCAGAACAACCTTACGACTTTTCAGTTAATGATTGCATTATTATTACTAACTCCAGCCTGAGGGTGCATATCACCCCCAGAAATAATGAATCCAACTCTTTCCCAAGTAACTGACGAGGAGGCTGAGGCCCAGAGCCCGGCAGGGGATGGCACAAGGTTCCTACCTAGGTTGACAGCCTAATGAAACCATACCCGTTCTCAAGCAGCCCAACTTCCTTCATTAGGGGGTAGGATCCCCAGGGAGCTGGTTCAGAAAGAAGTTTAAGGACATGTCCCAGACTGTCCTCTCTTACCCAGCAGGGAGCAAAATCATATAAACAATGTCAGGAAGGGGTTGAGAGAAATTCCTGGATGATGGAGTGCTGGTGGGTAATTGAGAGATTCTGGGAGGCAGAGGGACAGAAGAAAACAGGAACCTCAGTGGACTGGTCGCCATGGTTCATGCCTGTAATCCCAGCACTTTGGGAGGCTGAAGAGGGTGGATCACCTGAGGTCAGGAGTTTGAGACCAACCTAGCCAACATTGTGAAACCCCGTCTCTACTAAAAATACTAAAAAAAAAAAAAAAAAAAAAAAAAAAGGGCATGGTGGTGGGCACCAGTAATCCCAGTTACTCCAGAGGCTGAGGCAGAAGAATCACTTGAACCTGGGAGGCAGAGATTGCCGTGAGCTATTTCGTGACTGTACTCCAACCCCGGTGACAGAGACTCCATCTCAAAAAAAGAAAGAAAGAAAACAGGTGCAGAGGGGTGGTGTATAGGAGGACAACTACATTCAGGACACAGAATCAGAGGACCCTGGACTTCCTTGGCATCCACTCTGACTCTCTGAGTGTCCTTTGTCAAGCCCCTGGCACTGAGGGACCTGTGTTTCTTTCATCTGTAATGATGGTGCTGGTGTGTGAACCCTGATCTTCTGAATTACTAAGAATGCCAGGATTCCATAAAAACACCCTTTCCCAGGGTCCCTTCCAGACTGAAGGTATACTGGAACTCGGGACTGTTTCACTTAAGGTCCATCATCTACTTAGGACCAACTGCCTTCCCATTTTACAGACTGGTCAAGTGAGGCCAGAGGATGAAGCGGATTTGCCCAGAGTTCCAGAGGAAATCAGGGTGGAGCTGAAGTGGGAATGTCTTTATTTATTTATTTTATTTTATTTTATTTTTTGAGACGGAGTCTCGCTCTGTGGCTCAGGCTGGAGTGCGGTGGGGGGATCTCAGCTCACTACAAGCTCTGCCTCCTGGGTTCAAGCGACTCTCCTGCCTCAGCCTCCCCAGTAGTTGGAATTACAGGTTTGCACCACGATGCCTGGTTAATTTTTGTGTTTTTAGTATAAATGGGGGTTTCACAATGTTTGCCAGGCTGGTCTTGAACCCCTGATCTCAATTGATCCGCCTGTCTCGGCCTCCCAAAGTGCTGGGATTACAGGCGTGAGCCACCGCACCCTGCCTGAGGCTGGGATTTCTTGAGTCTTGGGTCAGGGCCTTCTCCTGATCCCTGGGGGTGTTAGCCTGGAGCCTCAGGACCTACTAGGGGAGCTGAGGATCCCCACAACGGGTTCAGGAAATTTCTGGACTTGTACATGACTTTTTTGCCGTGTGAATCACTGCTGGTTACATCAGCTCTTAGTGCCTTGACACACAGTAGGTGCCTAATAAATTTTATTGAATGAATGCAAATGAACATTTGGTTGGAAGGGGTCGTGTCCAGGCTTTCATTTGATTCTTCAAGGAGAATCAAAAAGTTTGTTCAAAAAGTTTCTGTGGCTCACACCTGTAATCCTAGCACTTTAGGAGGCCAACACCGGAGGACTGCTTGAAGCCAAGAGTTTGATACCAGCCTGGGCAGCATAGCAAGACCCTGTCTCTACCCCCCCCCCCAAAATTTTTTTTAATTAGCCAGGCATGGTGGTTTGCTCCTGTAGTCTCTGCTACTCAAGAGGCTGAGATGGAAGCGCCACTGTGCTCCAGCCTAGGCAACAGAGGGAAACCCTGTCCCCCCCACCAAAAAAAGAAGAGAAATCAAAATATCTGGCCCCAGGCCAGGTGCAGTGACTTATGCCTGTACTCCCAGCACTTTGGGAGGCTGAGGCAGGTGAGTCACCTGTCAGGAGATTGAGACCAGCCTGGCCAACATAGTGAAACCCCATCTGTACTAAAAATACAAAAAAGTAGCTGGGGGTGGTGGCTCACGCCTGTAATCCCAGCAACTCTAGAGGCTGAGACAGGAGAATCTAGAGGAATCTAGAGGCTGATTCCCGGGTGACAGAGTGAGACTCTGTCTCAAAAAAAAAAAAAAAAAAAATTCTAGCCTCAACATCTCCATTCCAGTAGCTTTATGGCAATGGGATAGGGTGGGAAGACTAGTAAGCCTCCCTCTCTTCTCCAGCTCTCCAGCACCAAAGCCCGGATTTCCCACATCTCTGCGCTCCCTCCACCCTCCACCCCCGAAAAATCATTGAGTGAATTTTTCCCCCATTCTTCTCCTCCTTCCTCTTCCTTTCTCTGAGAAAGGTTTCAGGGAACGTCTTCTGGGAATCTCTGTGTCTGTGTGTGTGTGTGTTGGGGGGAGGGGAGGGCGGGAGGGTTGTGGGTGGATCTTCACACCTCAGGAGTCTGTACACCCGTGAGGAGGAAGGGGAGCGCAGACCGTCTCCTAGGGGCGAGGCCTTTTCAGAGCTGGGTACTTCTTCCTGCTCTCCAGCCTGGTTATGAAACAGTGGCCATGGTGACTCCTGAGACCAGGGGAGGAAGGGCAGCCTTGGCCACCATGGGGCGTGGGAACATGATCAGAGATGGAGAAGGGAGAGAGAGCCTAGGATTGCTCCGGTGCTGACTCACCGGCCGTGCGATCTTGGACTGGTGGCTTGGCCTCTCTGGTGACCGCCCTGGGCTATAGCCTGGGATCCTTCCTGTAAGTTTTTTTGGCTCAGACCCCCCAGTCACCCTTTTCCCGGAATGGGTGAGGGACTCGTGTTCCATAATCCCACTGGCCCCTGTACTTCTTCCGTTAGAGGATTCCTTCCAAATAAATCCAAGGCCGGCGCGGTGGCTCAAGCCTGTAATCCCAGCACTTTGAGAGGCTGAAGCGGGAGGATGACCAACATGGCAAAACCCGGTCTCTACTAAAAATACGAAAATTAACCATGCGTGGTGGTGCGCGCCTCTAATCCCAGCTACTTGGGAGGCTGAGACAGGAGAATCACTTGAACCCGGGAGTCGGAGGTTGCAGTGAGCCAAGATCATGACAGTGCACTCCAGCCTGGGTGACAGAACGAGACTCCATCTTGAAATAAATACACAAATAAACAAACAAACAAAAATAAAAATCCAAAGGCTGACCACTGCTCCTTGTTAAATCCACAACCACCACCCACCCACCGCAACTACCAGCACCTCCCTCTTAGACTACTGCACCACCTGCTCACTGGGCTCCTGGCTGCTATCCTTGTCTCCCATACTCCTTTTTTTATTTTGAGACAGGGCCTTGCTCTGTCGCCCAGGCCGGAGTGCAGTGGCGCAATCACTGCTCACCGCAGCCTCCACCTCCTGGTTCAAGTGAACCTCACGTCTCAGCCTCCCAAGTAACTGGGACTGCAGGCACGTGCCACCATGTCCGGCTAATTTTTAAGTTTTTTGTAGAAATGGAGTCTCCCTATGTTGCCCACAGTGGTCCCAAAGTCCTGGCCTCAAGTGATCCTCCTGCCTCGGCCTCCCAAAGTGCTGGGATTATGGGCTGGAGCCACCATACCCAGCCCGTCTCCCACATTCTACTTCCTACTCAACAGCCAGTGGGATACTGTGAATACTTAAGTCAAATCGCTTTCATCCTCCACTGAGAACCCCCTCATCGCTTCCACTCGTCTCAAATTAAAAGGCAGAGTCCTCATCGGGACTTACATGGCCCCCCATGAACTGCTGTCTCCTCTCCTCTCTCATTTTCCCTTTCCTGCTGTCCTCCCCATCCCTGCTCCAGCCACACTGGCATACCTGCTATCCTTCCAAATTCAGACACTTGGCCGGGCACGGTGGCTCACACCTGTAATCCCAGCACTTTGGGAGGCTGAGGCGGGCATATCACAAGATCAGGAGTTCAAGACCAGCCTGGCCAAAGAGACCAGCCTGGTCAACATGGTGAAAGCCCCCATCTCTACTGAAAATACAAAACAGCCGGGCTCGGTGG